CTGATAATGATGTTGGCATTGCAGGCATCGCTGACGTTAAGATCATGGCCTTGCGTGCTTTCGGCGCTGATGGTACTGGCGGTATGTTAGCCACTCTCAACGGTCTTAACTGGGCAGTTGCTCATGGGGCTACAGTATCATCTCATTCATACACGGCTGATGGGTCTAGCAGCGTCTTCTTGCAGGCTATCCAGAACGCTGCCAAAGTCGGACATATCGTTGTGGTAGCATCTGGTAATGACGGTGTCAATGTTGATGAGGATCCGAGGTTTCCTTGCTCTTTCACCACTCAAGTACCCTCAATGATGTGTGTGGGCTCTACCTCGTCCATTGCTCCGCCTAAGGTATCCTTCTTCTCGGATACGGGCTCTGCAGTTAATATTGCTGCTCCTGGAGAGAATATTGTTTCGACTTGGCCAGGCGACAGATATGCTGTTCTGGATGGCACTTCCATGGCCACCCCTCATGTAGCTGGTGTTACAGCTATGCTCGCGACATTGGGCTTGAAGGGTCAAGATTTGACGAATGCTGTCCTTGGCAGTCAGTCACAAAAGCTCGTGGCAAACGGCACTACTATGAACTTTGGTGAGCTGGATGCCCAGAATGCAGTTCTTATGTCTCTAAATACCAGTTCACCCAGTGGAGTTACCACTTCTCCGCCCACCTCGTCTTCCTCTGCTAGGTCTCTATGCGGTTCATCGTTCTCTGTGGCTATTGGACTTGCCTTAGCGATGATGTTGTAATGCCTTAGGCATTAGCCAGCTTGGTCCTCTAGTGGCGATTTTGTATAGCTCGCATCGTTTGAGACGCTGTAGTTGTTCTCTTGTTACTTCTATGGGTGATTTCTTACCATGGTGATAGAATACTGATGTTGAAGGATTCTTTGTTTTCTTTTTCGGCGGTTGTGCCATAATGATAGTTCCGTCTCATGTAGTGCTGCTCATCGTTGAGTTGAGTATGGCTAATGCGCGAGTAGCTGAGATGTTGGCAACGCAGTTCCGCAATTTTCCTCGATTGAACACGGTATCTCGGCTCCACCGATTGATTCAGGTTCGAATCTAGTGGAAAGCATCTTTACAGGTTCTGGCTGATAGTCGGGAACCGACGACGATGAGAGGTCTCAACCGGATAACTTAAAAACTACGTGGTTTGGTTAGGGGAGGTTTACGCACAAGTCGTGTGTATCACGGATGATTGTATGCGAGCGGTTCGAAAGGATGTTATGTTGAGGGGATGATTTGTGTCGGTGTTCCTGAAAGCGAAGAATGGCGCGACAGCTATTGGTTGGTCAGACAGCGCAACCTTCTGGTTGAGGGAGAGACCGAATTCTTGATGAATAAGCCTCTACGTACCTCTTTCAGCGCTGTGTTGTTTTACTAGGATACTACCGTTAGGATGTCTCATCACCAAGGTACCTTGAATTCCCGAGAGGGCAATGCCGCATCAGATCAAACTCTATACATTTTCGTTGGTATTCTGGTGCTGATTATACCTTGGTACCACTCCATGCTTAGATTACGTCGGCCTTGGGTGCTCTAACGCTCGATGTTCTCGGACCAGGGCTTGGATGCCAGCGTGGTTTTAGGGTTATGTGTTTTTGTGTGTATATTACGCCTCTAGAATGATGAAACTACCAGGGAAATGCTTTACGGCTAAGCTCATGGAAGGAGTTTCACTGAGGTAGTGCGTTCTGAGCTTGTTGTAGGCTTCGGGATAAATATGAATTAAAGTGGTGGTTGAACCACCGTGAACCACGCTCCGTGGTTCAAGATTGGAAGGATCTTGGTATGAGCGGTTGAAAAAAGTAGTGTTGTGGGAGTAACCATGAGGGGCGCTTAGAGCTGGAGCAACGACCTACAGCAACCAGCTGCGCCCAACTAGCTATTGTTCCAGTATACCATATAGGTATGATGACTGCGTAAGATTCCATTACAAGTCAAGTGTGAAAATTCTCTATTTGTTGGACCTGGGAAGTCAATCGGTCAACTTTCGGATAGTGG